CCAAATAAAGGGAAGTATGTGGAAATTTCATTACGTGAAAAAGTTTCTTAGTTAATTTAAATGATTTGTCAAATTTTTTATGACCTGAGATTATTCTGTAGCATGCAGCAATGGTTTGTAATCTAGGTTTCAAGCCATGTGGGGTATCCTAAAGCAAAACAACAAGATATATTGATGGGCAATTTCTGGTTCTTTTACAGCTATTACTTAAGTTCTGAGACTGTTCATATAAAAAGATAATAATCAAATGGCATTTACTGCAGTTAAGTCCTGAACTAAGGAATCATTCGTACTATCACTTTACAGCTGAAACTGAGGCTGAAATAGGCAAAGTGATTTGCCTAAGGTCACCCATGGGCAGGAAATGTAAATGACAGAGGTAGGTCTCTAATTCTAATCTCCTGAGGTACTCTTTCTGTAGGAGAAACTTGGTCTCATTGCTTGGGCCTCCCTTTGTCTAGAGTTTAATGCTAAATACTCTTTTGTACCCCTGATAATGTACTTTGTTGTTGTTGATTTGTTTTTTGATCTCCTTTAAGTGTTTTTTTTATATTTACTGATTTTTATTTATTTATTTTTATTTCAGCATATTCTGGGGTTACAAAAATTTAGGTTACATATATTGCCTTTGACCCACCCAAGTCAGAGCTTCAAGCGTGTCCATCCCCCAGATGGTGTGCACTGCACCCATTAGGTGTGAATACATCCATCCCCTCCTCCCCCTCCCACCTGCCCGACACCCGATGAATGTTACTACTATATGTGCACATAAATGTTGATCAGTTAATACCAATTTGATGGTGAGTACATGTGATGCTTGTTTTTCCATTCTTGTGATACTTCACTTAGGAGAATGGGCTCCAGCTCTATCCAGGATAATACAAGAGGTGCTAGGTCACCATTGTTTTTTGTGGCTGAGTAGAACTCCATGGTATACATATACCACATTTTATTAATCCACTCATGTATTGATGGGCACTTGGATTGTTTCCACATCTTTGCAATTGTGAATTGTGCTACTATAAACATTTGAGTGCAGATGTCTTTTTTATAGAATGTCTTGTTTTCCTTTGGGTAGATGCCCCATAATGGGATTGCTGGATCGAATGGTAATTCTACTCATAGCTCTTTGAGGTATCTCCATATTACTTTCCACAGAGGTTGTACTAGTTTGCAGTCCCACCAGCAGTGTATGAGTGTTCCTGTCTCTCTGCATCTATGCCAACATTTATTGGTTTAGGACTTTTTGATAAAAGCCATTCTCACCGGAGTTAAGTGATATCTCATTGTGACAAATAATCCATCATGACCAAGTGGGCTTCATCCCAGAGATGCAGGGATGGTTCAACGTATGCAAATCTACAAATATAATTTAAAACATAAATAGAACTAAAAATAAAGACCATATGATTCTCTCAATAGATGCAGACAAAGCATCTGACAAAATTCAACACCCTTTTATGATAAGAATGCTTAACAAAATAGGCATAGACAGGACTTACCTAAAAATGATACAAGCCATATATGACAAACCCACAGCCAACATCATACTGAATGGGGAAAAATTGAAAGCATTTCCGCTTAGAACTGGAACCAGACAAGGTTGCCATCCATCACCACTTCTATTCAACATAGTGCTGGAGGTCCTAGCCAGAGCAATCAGACAAGAGAGAGAAATCAAGGGCATCCAAATGAGGGCAGAACAGGTCAAACTATCATTCTTTGCTGATGATATAATCTTATATCTAGAAAACTCCAAAGATTCTGCCATAAGGCTACTGGAATTGATAAACACATTCAGCAAAGTCTCAGGTTATTAAATCAATGTACAGAAATCAGTAGCATTCCTATACACCAACAACTGAGAATCAAACTGAGAACCAAATCAAAGACTCAATACCCTTCACAACAGCAACAAAGAAAATAAAATATCTAGGCATATATTTAACTAAGAAGGTGAAAGACCTCTACAGGGAGAACTATGAAACACTGAGGAAGGAAATAGCAGAGGACCTAAACAGGTGGAAAACCATACCATGCTCACTGGTCAGCAGAATCAACATTGTTAAAATGTCTATACTACCCAAAGTGATCTACAGATTCAATGCAATCCTGATTAAAATACCAATGTCATTTTTAACAGATAGAGAAAAAATAATTCTGTGGTTCATATGGCACCAGAGAAGACCCCGTATAGCAAAAGCAATCTTAAGCAAAAAGAAAAAATTGAGAGGCATCAATTTGCCAGACTTAAAGCTATTCTACAAGGCTAGAGTAGCTAAAATAGCATGGTACTGTCAGAAGAACAGAGATAGCAACCAATGGAACAGAACTGAGAACCCAAATATAAAACTATCCTCATATAGCCATCTAATCTTTTACAAAACAGACAAAAACATACACTGGGGAAAAGAATCCTTATTCAATAAACAGTGCTGGGAAAATTGGATAGCCACATGTAGAAGACTGAAACAGGATCTGCACCTCTCACCTCTCACAAAAATCAACTCATAGTGGGTATCACACTTAAACCTGAGGCATGGAACTATAAGATTTCTAGAAGAAAATGTTGGAAAAACTCTTATAGACATTGGCCTAGGGAAAGAATTTATGAAGAAGACCTCAAAGGCAATCACAACAACAACAAAAATAAATAACTGGGACCTGATCAAATTAAAAAGCTTCTGCACAGCCAAGGAAACTATCACAAGAGCAAACAGACAGAATGGGAGAAAATATTTGCCGGCTACAGATACGATAAAGGGCTGATAACTAGAATCTATATAGAACTCAGGAAAATCAGCAAGAAAAAAATCAAATAACCCCATTGAAATGTGGGCAAAGGACATGAACAGAAACTTTTCAAAAGAAGATAGACTAATGGTCAACAAACATATGAAAAAATGCTTAACATTTCTAATCAGGAAAATGCAAATCCTTTAAGTGTTGTTAGTGTGATGTACTTATTAGACCTCTCAACAGAGGATATATTAAATGACAACATTGGTATTATAGCAACAATATTTAGACTGTGATAAACTGTACAGGATACACAACCTGTTTCTTCAGTAAATAATTTCAAGGAAAAAAATGTAGTAATGGGTACTTATAGATTAAATGAGACAAGGGAAATACCAACCAAATGCATTGTGTTTTGGAACTTACTTGGATCCTGAGTTGAATAAATCAACTGAAAAAAATAACTAGATAATCAGAGAAGTGTATATTTAATGGTATTAAGGAATTATTGCTAACTTTTTAGGTGTAATAATTAAATTGTGGTTAAATATTTGGTATATTAAGATGTTTTTAAAAAAAAGTCTTTATCTTTTAGAGGTACATGTTGAAAGAGATGAATTGATGTGATGTTAGGACATATCCCTCAAAATAATACAACAGATGAAGCTGATTGGTCTTGAGTTGATAATTGTTAAAGCTACCTTCTGTGTGCCTGGGAGTTCATTATATTGCTGTCTACTTTTAAGCATGTTTGACATCTTCCACCAAAGAATGGATTGTTCAATGATGAATCCAAAGTAGATCGTTAAAATAGATCATTATTTTGAGTTTATATTGAATAATGCCTATTTCAAGAACGGCTCTGATGGGGCCTGAAGTAAACTGGTTCAATCTCCACAAACTCCTCGTTTTCTTTTTGGCACAAATAAAAAAACAACAATAAGGCCCAGAAATATATTATTTGCTCTCAAAACAACAACTTCTAAGTTTACAGAACAAGAAAGCAGCAAGAGAAACCAGACTTACGTTCATTACCTCCTGCTATCTCAACTCTGCTGTTTTTTTTCCTGTCATCTATTACCGTGATTTATTTTTGTTTATCGAAGCAGAATTATTACAAAATTTAATGTTAAAAATGTCCACAATCGCTCCAACTGACTTGGTTATCTAGGTTTCAAGCTAGAGAAACCTCCAAAAGGTTTCTAATCTTTCCTAAAATAAAGTCTGAAATTGGGAGACGTAAGGGCAAAATGATGGTTGGCAGCATTTCGACGCGTTACTTTTTGGTCTCGATTTCGCTAATTAGATACTTTGTGGTCAGGGGGGTAGAAGAACCTACATCTTTAAAGTTCCCTACCCATACGACAATGTTTTTGTTTTAAGGGAATTTCTGTGGAACAGGAAATTCTCTGAGATTTTACGTCAGCGCCAACAGTTGTAGTAATTACCGTATTGACGCTACTTAATTTCAAAGGGCAAAGCTTTGAGGCGCCGCGCAAGAACAATTTAGGAACTTTAGAGTTCAGACCTAAGTCATTATTTTTCTGTGATTTAATTTTTTAAGCAGTGTTGACAGTGGGTAGCTGAACTAAACTAGGATTTTTTTTACTATTTTTTAAAATTCCCATTAATATATTTCTCAGTCTGTGCTTGAGGCACGAAGCAGAGACTAGGTTACACTCTTTAGAATAAGCTACGCAGCTTCAGGAAGCGTTTACTGCAGTAGTGCGCCTGCGCAGCTAGTCCTCATCAAATTGCGGGCCTTTCCCAGTCCGTCTAGCAGGGGGCGCTGTGAGGTAATGAACTAGTCCTCCCTAGGGCTCTGGAACAGAGCGTAAAAGGGCGGGAGGAGAGGCGGGCTGAGGGGCGTTCTATCCTCGACTGCCCTAGTCTCTATCACCCTTTGTCCTCCAGCCTCCCCAGGGGCACTGGGCCTGCCCGCCCGGTTGCTAGGCGGAAGCAGGGCGCGGCGGCGGCCGCGGCGGCTGCCCGGGCGTTTGAAAAGCGGCTACGGAGGCGGCAAAAGGTCCTTGGGCGGCGGGCTCACTTCTACCTGCCGTCGGGCCGTGCTGCAGAGCAGCTTTTGCCTTGAGTCGGGGCAGGGTCAAGGCCTGGGCCGGCGGCCCGGGGCAGGGGAGCCGGGCGCGCTGCAGGCGGCGGTGGGACAGGCCACGGAGCGGGGTCTCGGCGTCAGGGGCCGTGGGTGGGCGGTGGGCGCCCCGCCAGGAGTCCTGCCTGTGGTCGCGGCTTATCTGAGACTCACTTGGACTCCACTTTCCCCCAGCAGACCCCGCCTCCGGGCCGCCGACCGCGGCGACCATGGTCTCCAAGTCCGACCAACTGCTCATCGTCGTGTCCATCCTAGAAGGTGAGCGGCCTGAGACTTGGTTTTGCAACCGCCGCTTCCTGAATTGTAAGAGTAGTGTGGGACCGAGGGCTTGTTAACCTTGGGAACCCTGGCATCTTTGCCTTTGTGGTCCCAACAGACTTGTTCAGAGTTGCGTGTAGTGAAGTCTGTTAGGCAATTGATTTAAAAATCTCTCAAGAGAGTATGAGAGCTATTAGGGATAAGTGATATTTAGCGTGACTAGCCTTAGCCCCAGAGAATCTGGAAAAAAACGATTTCCATCAGAAGCAGCATGTCTATGGGTTTTCTATAAAATCGGAAAGTGTTCCTGGGAAGCACGTTCTGTTCAGCGGTCTCCTAGTAATAACAGCATTTGTAAGAACTTTGCCTTTGATTTGAATACATGTTTCCTGCAATTTAAGAAATATTGTGGAGGCCGTTCGCTTTACAAGCCTTGATGGAGGCCTTAGGGCACTCCTGTTAAGATGTGTTATCCATTCCTTAACAGTTTTTCTTTGAATGAATGACGTTTGTTGAGTGGCAGGCACTGCGCCGGTAGTGTAAAAATAAGACATTCTTCGTTCTAAAAGCTGAGGGTGTAGTGTGGAGAATGTGTCAACAAATAATTAACAGGGTGTGGAAGAAGGAATGATCACCTCTGTCTGGCGAAGCTGGTGAATGTTTACCGGAGGAGGTGACATTTATTTGGGTCCTAAAGATGATTAGTAATTTGTCAGGTGAAAAAAGGAAGGTCATTCCAGGGGAAGGGAAGAGCAAAGGGCACTTAAGGTATGCGAAAGCAAGGCATGATTTGCCTCGCTTAACTTTAGTGTGGTTGGAGAGCAGAGTGCAGGAAAGTGACGGGCATCGTAATTAATGTGTAAATTGGGGACAGTTTATGATTAACATGTTAAGAAGGAGTCATTCTGAGGGGGACCAGAGGCTTGGCTGGATTCCCCAATCCCCCACCCCTACCGGGAGGGAGGTTTTGTGGTGGCCTAGCACTGCGTGGGAGGCGGGGCGGGGAAGGAAACATTGTAAACCTAATTTTTGACTTTTGGAACAAGAAACTGATTAGAAGCCGCAAAGAGTTGGGGTCCTATTAACTGTTAGATTACTGATTATTTAAAGACAGGACTGAAATCACCTTATAGTTTGGTTAACAAAAATTTTTAGACTTAGAACGGTGCCCCATGCAACGAGGAAACAAATGTAATATCCATTCCCTTCAAGGATGTAGAGGTCTATGTGGGGAGATCAAATTAATGTGCAGGACACAGTATGTTGGGGCGTAATATGTTAGAAATATGTGATCTGGACTGTAAAGATAGCTTTGGGGGTGGGCTGGTGATGATGGCTGAAGTACCGCGAGTAATAAGTAGGCTTTAGATAGGCGAGAACAGAAGAAAGCCATTCCCGGTGATTGTACAACCAGGCCAGCGTGGGAATGAGCATGGTGGCTGGAACAGTGAAGAGGACAGCGAGATGACCAGGGTGGAAGGAAGGTGAATATTTAGTAATATCATGGTAAAAAAAAAATGAGCTTTTATAACTGGAGTAAACAGGCCTTGGAGGATCTTGAAAGCCAAGGAGTTTAGAATTAAAGTTCCAAGAAATAGGTCAGCAGCATATATTCCTAAATAGGAGAGTGTTTTTCTCAACTTCAGTTTAATGGCAGTGTGCAGGGAAGAGAACCTGGAGACAGGAATATAAGTTAGGTTGTTGCTACAAACATACCTAAAACTAGCATGTGATCCTCTCTCTAAACTGTTCCTTTTCTTGTGTTTATACTGTATTTCCATTCATGGTTAACCATGCTGTTGCCTCAAGCCAGGAACCTGGGAGTCATCCTCATCCTGGATTCCCTCTCCATCCCCAGCTTCCAAATGGTCCCTAAGTAGTATTGATTTTATTTTCTAAGTAATAGTAGGTGCTGTTAAAACATAAAAATTTTTGAATAAATGTGTTTCTATTGTGAGTTCCTTGACTAGGAGCCCTTATTATCTACCTAACTTATTGTAATCTTTTCAGTAGTCTGATTCCTAAATATTTTTTTCCTTTCCAGAAATATCTAGACTGTCCCCATTACTATGTGGGGATAATCTTTCTGAAATGCAAATCCGATTTTCTTAAAACCCTTTGGTGTCCTAAAGGTTAATGCCTATACTTCTTACATACTTATTCTATACTGTATTAAGTACTGGTATAGTAATATCTAAAATTGGTGTAATCACATTTTTAACTCTGTAATTCTAAATGTTATTGAGATCATTGCTACTCAAAGTGTGAACCAAGGACGGCAGCATTCACATTACCTGAGCTCTTGTTAGAAATGCAGGCTCTCAGGCCTGCCCTAGACCTACTGAAGTAGAATCTACATTTTAGCAGGATCTCTATGCACATTAATGTTTGAGAAGCACTAATTTATAAATTACAGCTTTCAGTTCGATTCATGTTTCTTATGAATTATGAAAGTGGGTGTACGTGTATGTGTTAACAAGGTAGTTTATGGAATGTATAAGTCAACCACCCTTAACATATATCAGATTTTAAAAACACATGCCAGATGATCCTGTGTGATTTTTGTATACTTCCAATTAATCTATATGGTCTTGTTTCTCCAGGTCGCCATTTCCCCAAACGTCCAAAGCATATGCTTGTAGTAGAAGCAAAGTTTGATGGAGAACAGTTGGCTACAGATCCTGTGAACCACACTGATCAGCCAGAATTTGCAACTGAGTTAGCCTGGGAAATTGACAGGAAAGCACTTCATCAGCACAGGTGACCGTTATTTTCAACTTAAATTAGTATCCTTATCAGTTTCTTCTTTTTCAGGCTGTTACAAATAAACACAGGTTGAATACCTGTCCCGACCCGCCGGGTAGTCAACGCGGACCCTGGAGGAGGGAGTGGGAATTGGGAGAGGCAGGAGACACAAGAAATGGAGACCAGACAGGAGTCTGATCAAGTCTCGTTTATTGGCAGTAGGGCAGAGGCTTAAGTAAGGCAGAAAGAGGAGGTAACAGTAAAGGGGCGGTGCTTTCCGAGGCTCTGGCTTTCCAGCCAAAGGATTTCCATATAAGGAAACCCTCAGGCGGCTTTCAAGGGCTACCTCATAATGGGTAAATGGAAACTTACAAGCTCTTTCGCGGGCTTTTGCAAATGCGCGGGCTTGGTCGGCCATTTTAGATAAGCAGGCAGATCCACATGGCTCGTGGCCATCTTGGATAAGCAGCTGCCGGGCCTCATGGCTCCGGACAAATACCCTTATTCAAAGTGCTTGGGACCAGGAGCGTTTTAATTTTAGATTATTTTGGATTCTGGAATATTTTCATATATATATAAGATATCTTAGGGATGGGACCCAAGTCTAACATGAAACTCATTTGTTTCATGTATAGCTTATACGTAGATCCTGAAGGTAATTTTATGTAATATCTTTAATAATTTTGTGCATGAAACAAAGCTTGTGTTAAGTGCTTATGCTTAGGATTTCCCACTTGTAGCTTCATGTCAGTTCTCAGAGTTTTGGATTTTGGAGCATTTCAGATGAGTACATAACCTGTAAATTTTATCTCTCTCATTACATTATAGTAATAATCATATTTATTGAGTTTTTTTTAATGTGTCAGGAAATTTTCAAAATACTTTGCAAAAATAAAACATTTAAACATCAGAGCAACCCTGTAACGTTGGTATTATTATTTCCCCAGTATTACCAATAAGGAAACTGAGACCTGAGAGATTAAGTAACTTGCCTTAAGTCTGTCCTCTGGATAGTGGTAGAGCACAGTTTTAACCACTATACTAAACTTAGTGGTTTTTGCGGTTTTTTTGTTTTTCTTGCTAACGTGTAAGACAATAGATACTCTAGAAATACCTTGATGCCTACCCCATAAAAAATATAGGTTGACAGTCATTGTAATTTCTGTTAATTCATTTATTATATATTTACCTGACTTGCCCAAGGATATATAGAGGGGTACTCAGTGAAAAGTTATGAAAGTAATTATATAAGGGATTCTTTGTAATTAATTTATATTTAATTTTAGACAAAAAATTAGTATATAAAATAGGCGTAAAGTTATAGCATCTTATTTTTTCATGAACTCTAGGACCAGAGCAGGCAAAAACAGCAATGTTTTTATTTATTAAAGGATTGAAAATAAATTTTCTTCTGGGAAACACATAATGACTTCAATACTTGCTTGTTCTCAGTACTAAATCATATCAAAATAGAAAGTTAAAAAAAGAAGGAAAGCAAGGAGAAATTTATTTGCTTCTATTGCTAGATTAGTGCATAGATTTATTTGAAGGAGTATTAAATTCTTAGAGAATATAAAAATATTGTATTTCCTTTTAGTGGCATCTGAAATAGCTGCTTAGACAAAATCCTGCTGTGAGATGTTAGGGCCTGCATTTGTGGTTGTGTGTGCGATTGGGTTAGTGCCAAGTAGTACCACTGTGACTGCTGTAGGCTGAAAAAATAATACAGATAAATTGAATTTACAAGTGATAATTTTGTGCTAAGTGCAGTTTCATAGTAATTCCACTAGATAAAAGTGATGACAAAATCTATTCTGCTCAATGCATAAGCAAATATAGGGGCTTCAAACTGAAGAAGAGCCCATGCTGTGTACCAGTCAGTATCATGCTTACAGAACATTGTGATAGGTTACATTGTATTATTAACTTAAATTTTAATAGTTTATGATTTTATGGTATTTAATTCCTAAGTTTGTTTTTTCAAGGCTACAAAAGAACTGTAAGCATATATGTATATTTGCAATTTTATGTGTGGATAATTTTTGACTTTCAAAAGATTTTACACATTATAGAAACTTGATAAACATTGACCTAGATGATAGCCTCTTTGATGAGAGAGACTGAGATTTTGACATGCTTTGTATATTACTTAGTTGGTATATAGGTAAGTAGATATAGTTAATAGTTCTTGCCAGTTGGAGTTTTATAGAAAATATAGAATAGATACAGCTTATCCAACAAAATTTGTATATACGTATAAGATATCTTGATAATAGGCAGTTTTTTCAAGGCTAATAGAAAGTTCAATATTAAACAAAAACCATTTTTATTTATCACATAAATTATTTTGTTACAGGCTACAGCGTACTCCTATCAAACTTCAGTGTTTTGCCTTGGATCCTTCATCTTCAGCCAAGGAAACCATAGGTTACATTGTTCTGGACTTAAGAACTGCTCAAGAAACAAAACAGGTATTGCCCTGTTGATGTTTTGTTAAGAATTGTGTTAGACAGTTGATTATTTTCAATAGATATCAGATTAATGAAAAGGACATGAAATGCTGGATGTGGTAGATCATGGACTTGAGCCAAAATGGCAGTTTTTAAGTTTTAGTTTATGAATTTGATTTAGAATATCTCAAGCTTTTCATCATTCTTTTGACTAAGAACTATCTTTCTCAAAGAAACGTGTCTCTGAGCTCAAACCTATATCCAGATTGCTGTTACCTCAAGTTTAACCTGTTGGGCTCCTGGGCTTTCCTTTCAAAGGTGATCTGAGCCAGGCGCGGTGGCTCACGCCTGTAATCCTAGCTCTCTGGGAGGCCAAGGCGGGCGGATTGTTTGAGCTCAGGAGTTCGAAACCAGCCTGAGCAAGAGCGAGACCCCGTCTCTACTAAAAAAAAGAAAGAAATTAATTGGACAACTTATATAGAAAAAAATTAGCCGGGCATGGTGGCACATGCCTGTAGTCCCAGCTACTCAGGAGGCTGAGGCAGAAGGATTGCTTGAGCCCAGGAGTGTGAGGTTGCTGTGAGCTAGGATGACGCCACTGCACTCACTCTAGCCCGGGCAAAAGAGTGAGACTCTGTCTCAAAAAAAAAAAAAAAAGGTGGTCTCTTCCAGTGTTCCTTGCTTCGGTGAATGCTCACCAGTCTCCTTTCAGTTATACAAGTTAGATATATAGAAATCTTCTTGACATTTCCTTTTTTATCCCTCCATAGCCACCCATTTCAGTTAGTTATTTCCCTCCTGCTCCATCTACTAGTCTGCTTTTCACTGCTGCCATCCCATCCTCAGCCACTGTCATTTCTTACCTTGACTATAATAGTAGCCTCCTAATTGATTTCCCTGCTTCCTGCTCCTTGCATTCCTTATGTCGTAGTCAGAGCAAGTGAACTTACTGAAACACACTTAATGTTATATAACCAGCACCCCACTCCCTTGAAAGGAAAGAACTCAGGATCTTTATTCCTGTGTTAGTGCCTTTTATTACTGAACATGCTACTTCTTACAACTTTTTAAGTATCCTCCAACCTTTTTGTACATGGTTGACTTTAGAAATCTTCCTTTGAATTTTTCTTAATGTCTTTGGTCACAATTTTCTTAAGAAAAATAAAGTAAAAAATTAAAAAACCCACTAATATCTTCTCTTTTATTTTAAAATCCATTCTTGATTTGAATCTGAAATTAGGATTCTGTGAAGAAAAATGTATCCTGTTACTAATATTTTTGCTGCTGATAGAAATGATATTTGCAAATGATCAGTAGGCTCAGCCCAATGTGGGGTTTATTCAAAAGAAGCTGAAATTTTAAAATAATTTAAAAGAGGACTTGTTTTTCCCCCCATCCTTGGGTACTCATCACCTCTCTGCCCCTAGGCCTTATGCTGAAAAAAGTTTTCCCTCTTTAGTCTCTAGACCCTGAGCCAAGGAGGTTCATTGGGCCCCTGATGTTTTTCTAACCCAACTTCTTTCCTGCAATATGCATGTGTCTGGAAGACACTTCTGTAGTCAGTCTGGTTGCAGAAAAGTAAATCCTCTTAGGAGGAGGATATCTGAGAGAAGAGATCATGTCTGTAAATGCTCCCGGCATTCCCCATCCCAGTCCTTTAGGATACTTTGTCAACATATTTATGATCAAAGTTAAGGAGAAATGGTTCGAAATTAGTTTCATGAAAACCAAATGCTGTCTTGCTTATTCTCTTTTGTTCACCAGCATAAATATTTGAAATTGGCTAGTAGAATATTTGAATTTCAAAATAAATTGATTATAAATAAATATAAATACAGAAAAATCCGGATTTATTTTTCTGAGTTATATAACAGAAAAATATAAATTCTCTGAGTACTTAAAAATCTTTTTCAGGTTTATACTCAAAATTGGAAAATGTTTGGCATAAGAAATACAGCAACAAATATTATGCATTTTTATCTTTAAAAAACTAGGTTGTTGATTTTCTTTTTAACCTGTGGTTAAATAGTTAATCTTATTTTACTTATCAAATACAGCTTGAATATAACATAGCAGTTTATGGTTTTGATCAGCATAAGCACCGGTTACTATATCTTTGTTATAACAATTGTCAGTAGGAATACTGTTTCCAAGCATTGAAATGGTGCCTTGGCTGAACAGTGGTTTCCTGCTCTAATGATACATGTAGCCATGAGATTTTTCAGGCTACTTTGGGCACTAGAATTTCCCAGGTTGCTGTAGAGGGATAGTCAAGTAATTTAGGATACTTTGTTCTGTGAGAAGGCTTTTATTGCAGTATCAGTTAAGTGTTAATACATGGTTCATAATGCAGAACTCTACCATCAGGCCTTCACTTTAGTGTTTTCTATTAACACTAAGATTTTCTTGTCCTTATTTGATATAAGCAGAACAAAGCTAAAATGTGGCAGGGAAAAAAGGTATAATAAAAAATGTGAAAAAATAAGGATTAGGTAAATAGAAAATTCATAGTTTTTTGTTGTTCAAGGGATGAAATGAGATTGGGGATATAAGGCCAAAGGTAGAAAGAAATATATAGTTCTCTTTCCTTTAATATTTTACCTGTTGAAGCATAGGAATGGAAGAAGGGAAGACAATTTAAACTTTTACTTAGTTTTTTCAAAGGGAAATTCAGGTGATGCCTTCCTAAGCAGGATTAATTTCTTTTGAGGACAAGATGGAAAAAAAATGTTTTAAAAGAGAAAATGCTGAAAAACTATAGGAAATTTATTTAGAACATTATAGAACATTTCCCAATACTTTTTTTCCCTATTAACTATTAAGATGTTCTGTTGTTATTGTCTAGGCACCAAAATGGTACCAGTTGCTGAGTAATAAATACACCAAGTTCAAGTCTGAGATACAGATAAGCATTGCTTTGGAAACAGATACAAAGGCACCAGTGGATAGTTTTAAAGCAAAAGGAGCCCCCCCTCGAGAAGGAAAAGGTTTGTACATCATCTCTAAAGACATTTTCTTATAAGTTCCGTCTTTGAACTAGAACTTTAGGAATAGGGGGAGTGTTATAAGGAGATAGACATTGTAGTACAAACTGATTTTATTCTAGTGTGTCAGACAAATACTGTGACATGTTGCAAATGCAACCCTTGTTGCCATTAGCTCTTGTTTACAAATCTTAGAAATAGGAAATACTTTTCTTTTCCCTATTTGATAATATAGTGGAACAAAGCACAATTTTGTATTTTTAAAAATGGCTACTTAGGAAAATTTTCTTACTAGGATGAGTAGAGGAAAGCCCAAAATGATTATGCTATTCTCTGCTTGTTAATTCAACTGTAGTTTAACAAAACTTTTATATTTATTTCTTTCTCATTTAATTCGTCAACTTTATTTTGTAGAGTAGTTTTAGCTTCACAGCAAAATTGAGTGGAGAATAGAGAGTTCCCATATATCCTCTGTCCCCACACACACACAGCCTTCCCTACTATCAACATCTTAGCACTAGAGTAGTGGTGTTATAATTGATGAACCTACATTGACCCATTATTACCACCCAAAGTCCATAGTTTACATTAGGATTCACTCTTGGTGTTGTCATTCTATGGGTATAGACTAATGTATAGTGACATGTATCCTCCATTGTACTACCATACAGAATAGGTACACTGCCCTGAAATCCTCCGTATTCCACCTCTTCCTCCCTCTCTTCCCCTAAACTCTGGCAACTACTGATCTTTTTTACCCTGTATAGTTTTGTCTTTTCCAGAATGCTATGTAGTTGGAATAATATAATATATAGCCTTTTCCAGATTGACTCTTTTACTTGGTAATAAGTGCATTTAAGGTTCTTCATGTCTCTGCATGGCTTTATAGCTAATTATTTTTTTAGTGCTGAATAATGTTCCATTGTCTGGGTGTATCACAGCTTATTTATCCACTCAGCTACTAAAGGACATCTTCGTTGCTTCCATCTTTTGGCAATTATGAATAAAGCTGCTATAAACATGTATGTGTAGGCTTTTGTGTGAACATTATCAGTTCATTTGGGTAAATACCAAGGAGTGTGATTGCTGAATTGTATGGTAAGAGTATATTTTAGTTTTGCGAGAAATATCCAATCTGTCTTCTAAAGTGGTTATACCATTTTGCCTTCCCACCAACAATGAATGAGAGTTCCTGTTTTTCCATGCTTTTACCAGCATTTGGTATTGTCAGTGTTTTGGATTTTGGCCATTCTGATAAATTTGGTATCTCGTAGTTTTAATTATTAGTTCCTTGATGACATATGATGTTGAACATGTGTACTTAATTATGCTTGTGCACCATCTGTATATATCCTTTGATGAGGTGTCTGTTTTGGTCTTTGGCCTATTTTTTAATCAGGTTATTCATTTTTTTAATCATTGAATTTTAAGAATTTTTTGTGTATTTTGGATAACAGTCCTTTATCAAATGTGTCTTTTACTAATATGTTTTACCCATCTATGGTTTGTCTTCTCATTTTCCTGACATTATCTTCCACAGAGCAGAAAATTTTAAGTCCAGCTTATCAATTATTTCATTCATGGATTATGCCTTTGTTGTTGTATCTGAAGTTCTTAGCACGCCCAAGGCCATCAAGATTTCTCCTATGTTATCTTCTAGGAATTTTATAGTTTTGCATTTTAAAATTAGGTCTATAATCCATTTTGAATTAATTTTGAGAAAAGGTATTATAGAGTCTGTGTTTAAACTTCATTTTTTTTTTTTTTTGCCCCCTGTGGATGTCCAGTTGTTCCAGCACTATTTGTTGAAAAGATTCTTTGCTCCATTGCATTGCCTTTGCTCCTTTGTCAAAGATCAGTTGACTATACTTACGTGGGTTATTTCCAGGCTCTCTATTCGCTTCCATTGATTGGTCTGTTCTTTTGTCAATACCATCATGTCTTGATTGCTGTTGCTTCTTAGTAATACTTGAAGTCAGGCACTGGCTGTTCTGGGTCTTTTGCCTGTCCATATGAGCTCTAGAGTCAGTTTATCAGTATCTTCAAAATAATTTGCTGGGGTTTTGATTGGGATTGCTTTGAATCTATAGACCAAGTTGGGAAGAACTGACATCTTGACAATATTGAGTTTTCCTATCCATGAATATGCACTCTCGCTTCATTTATTTAGTTCCTTGATTTCTGTTTTCAGAGTTTTATAATTTTTCTTATATAAATCTTGTATTTGTTAGATTTATACCTAAGTATTTCATTTTTGGGGTGTTAATGTGAATGGTAATGTATTTTTATTTCAGATTCTATTTGTTCATTGCTGGTATATAGGAAAGTTGTTGACTTTTTTATATTAACTTTGTATCCTGCAACCTTGCTATAATCACTTACTACTAGCTACAGAAGTTTTTTGTCAATTCTTTCCACAGATTTTCTGCATAGATAATCATGTCAGCTGCAAACAAGGACAATTTTATTTCTTCCTTCCCAATCTGTATACCTTTTATTTCCTTTTCTTATTGCACTAGCAAGGGCTTCAAGTATGAAGTTGAAAGGAGTGGTAAGAAAGGGACATCCTTAGCTCGTACCTGATTTTGGTGGGAATGCTTTAAATTTCTCACCTTAAGTGAGAAATGGTGAGAATGATGTGAGCTATAGGTTTTTTTGTAGATATTGTTTATCAAATTGATTAAGTTTCCTTCTAATCCTAGTTTACTGAGAGTTTTTATCATGAATGAGTGTTAAATTTTGTCAAATGCTTTCTCTGCGTCTATTGATATGGTCATATGATTTTTCTTCTTTAGTCTTTTGATGTGATGGATTACATTAATTGATTTTTTAATATTGAACCAGCCTTGCATACCTGGGATAAAATCCACTTGATCATGGGGTATAATTATTACACATTGTTTGATTCAATTTGCTAATATTTTGTTGATGTATATATTTTGTTAATATATTTGGTTTTTGCATCTATGTTCATGAGAGATACTGGTCTGTAGTTTGTGAGGTATTTTTCGTAGTCTTTGATTTATCTTCTGAAAGAGATTGTAGAGAGTTGCTATAATTTCTTCCTTAAATCCTTAGTGGAATTCACCAGTGAACCCATCTGGACCTGGCACTTTCTATTTTCTAAGGTTATTAATTATTGGTTCAATTTCTTTAATATTTATAGGCCTATTTAGAGTGTGTATTTCTTATGTGAGTTTTGGCTTATTGTGTCTTTCAAGGAATTGATCCATTTCATCTAGGCTATCAAATTTGTGGGCACAGACCTGTTGGTAATATTCTATTACTATCCTTTTAACGTCCATGGGCTCTATAGTGATCCCCTGTTTTGTTTCTGGTAGTAGTAGTTTGTGTCCTCGCCTCTTTTTCTTTTTTTTTTCTTATTTAGCCTGGCTAGAGGCTTATTGATTTTGTTTATCTTTTCAGAGAATCAGCTTTTGGTTTTACTGATTTTTCTCTGTTGATTTTCTATCTTCAAATTTCACTGATCTCTAATTTTTATTATTTTCTTCTGTTTGCTTTGGATTTAAGTTGATCTTTTTCTAGTTTCTGGAGGTGGAAACTTAGATGATTGATTTTAGATCTTTCTTCTTTACTAATATATGCATTCAATGCTATACATTTTCCTCTAACCACTGCTTTCATTGCATCCAGCATACTTTGCTAAGTTCTGTTTTCATTTTCATCTAGTTCAAGATATTTTTAAATTTTTCTTGAGATTTTTTTCTTTGACCCATGTGTTATTTAAAAGTGTGTTTAACTTCAAGTATTTTGAGATTTTTTTTGGCTCTCTTTCTATTATTGATTTCTAGTTTAATTTTGTTGTGGTATGAGAGCAGACATTGTCTGATTACTAAATTTGTTAAAGTGTGTTTTATGGCCCAGAATATGGTCTGTCTTGGTGAATGTTCCACAAAAGCTTGAGAAGAAGTGTATTTTGCTTTTGTTGGGTAAAGTGGTCTATAGATGTCCATTATATCCAGTTGGTTGATGGTGGTGGTGAGGTCTACTATGTTGTTAGTGATTTTCTGCCTTCTGGATCTATTTTTGATAGTGAGGTGTTCAAGTCTTCAACTATAATAATGGATTTAACTACTTCTCCTTGCATTTCTATCAGTTTTTGCCTCATTTATTAATATTTTGATGCTCTGTTGTTAAGTGCATACACAATAAGGATTGTTAAGTCTTGTTGGAAAATTGATCCCTTTATCATCTTATAAGATCTGTCCTTGTTCTTGGTAATTTTACCTGGTCTGAGGTCTGCCCTGTCTGAAATTATGTAACTACTCCTGATTTCTTTTGATTAGTGTTAGCATGGGATATCTTTCTCCATCCCTTTACTTTTAATCTATATTTGTCTTTATACTTAAAGTGGGTTTCTTGTAGACAACAAAGTTGGGTTTTATTTTTTGATCCACTTTGACAATGTCTGTTTTTTAATTGGTACATTTAGACTATTGATATTCAGAGTGATTATTGATATAGTGGATTAATATCTACCATGTTTGTTAGTATTTTATATTTATTGCTCTTGTTTCTTGTTCCTTTTTTGTCTTCCACTCTTTTTCTGCCTTCTGTGGTTTTAATTTTATATGATTTCATTTTATCTCCTTTCTTAGCATGTCAGATATACATTTTTTTTTTTTACTTCTTTTTAGCAGTTGCCCTAGAGTTTACACTGTACATCTACAATTTTCAAATAATACTATAGTACCTAACAGATTGAGTACCTTATAATAATAAAATATTATTAATCCCTCCCTACTGTCCCTTGTACCATTACTGTCATTTCAATTACATGTAAATATATATATGTATACATATACATACAAGCATACATAATCAAATAAATTGTTGCTGTTTTTTTTTTGTTGTTGTTGCTGTTTTTTTGAACAGACATTTATCTGTTAGATCAATTATGAAAGTATTTATTTCTCCTTAACTTTTGAAGGATAATTTTGCTGGGTACAGAAATCTAGGTTGGTTGGGTTTTTCCTCTCTCA